TCAGCATGTTGCCTATACCCCTTATCAGCTCTTCTGAGGGTGCAGAAATTCTGTTCTGGTGCACCCTTTCAGGATGAAAGCTTGCTGATTTCTGTCAAAGGTTCAGACTCCTCCAATGGATGTTTTTCTGAGCAGAAAAAACTTCTGAGAGGAAAAAAAAGCCTGCCAAAATTTTCCAGCTGGTTCTTGCTGTTAATGTGGGGAGGATGCATGGTGTTTTTCATAGCTAATGAAGATGTTGATGTCCTACTTTCTGATGAAGCTTAGTTTTGACCGTGGAAAAGTGACTAATTCTGCCACAGATTTAACACTGGCAAAATAACAGTCAGTGCTATGCTCACTAACTTAGATCTCTCACCTATCACCACCTTCTGCTGAATTAACCCCTGCCTTTTCTGTCTCACTTTTGAATGTCTGAAACCAGTCTCGTCGGAAGGGTTAAACACCCAAAAGCGTTGCTTCCTCCAAGGGGCCCTGCCTCAGGCTCCCGGCTTCATTTTGGCATCATGAGCCTGTCCCAGTCTCTTGAAAATGCCCTCCTGTGAAGTTAGCCCACAGAAATTAGAGGCCACCGTATCAAAATGACTCCTTGGATGGAACCTTAAAATGCAAACTTTCTGCAGGCTGTACCATGCTTTTTGCCAAGTCCTCCAAGCTGCCAGTTGCTCAAGTAACAATCTGATTAACTTGCAGCTATTAATCACTTCATCTTTGCCAAAAAGAAGGGCGTAGAACTGGAGAGGTGGAAATTTTCAGGGCGTCTTGTGTTTAGGAAGACAGGTGGTGACCGTCGCTGGGAAGATTTGTCCAAAGTGTGTGTGTTCCCAGCAGCTGGTGCTGTGCTGGTGGCCGTGAGCGAGGGATGCGCCTGGGGCTGCTCCTTGGCCCCGGTACCGGCTCTGGTCCAGCACTTGGTGATAGGTGACTCGAGATGCAATATTTATTGAGGGAAAGGGATCCCCAGGACACTGGAAACAACCAATGTGCAATTGGGAAGCGGTCTGTTTACACATACGTGTAGGTGCTACGCACTCTGAATTTCCCCTTGTGGCGTTTCGTTATGTTTGCGTTAATCTTTATTTCATTTGCACTATTTGGTGTTGCCTCGAGGTTTGCATAATTTGTATAAATATGCAGCATACTTCTGGGGCTGGAAATAATGAGCACCCTCATTTCGTTAGTCCTCTTAGACAGGCTGGGGCAAAGCTCCTCTTCCATTCTTAATTAAAGAATTATTGAGCCTTTTGGTAACAAAAGAAAAAGAATCTTTGGATCACCTCATACTCTACTATTTTGGAGTGATTTGTAAATGTAAAAAGCACTTAGCAGTTAGGTAAACAAAACTGCAGTTTTTATATTTGCTTTATAAAATCATATTTTTGCTATTGTATTCGCAAGCACTGTACTTGGGAATTGACATTCAAAAAAATGAGCGTTCACTAAGCTCTGGCTTGCATTTCTCGAACAGCAAGACACTGGCAGCAGTCAGAAACAATTTTGCTGACGTCCTCCTGCCTTATGGAGGACCAGTTGCCTGTGGCCCGTGGAGTGACTAATAGGGGACCGAGGTTCCTGAGCAATGGGGAAAGAACCCCATAAGTGACCTCATGGCTGATAAAAGTAGCTCAAGCAATAATATCTTTTATTATGAATTTCTTCCCACAGAATTTGTCTGATCATCTGAGCAGACAAACTTATTAGGGCAGCCTTCATATCATTGGTGTATTTTGTGCCTCTGCTAAACAGAATTCATAGTGCTTAAATACTGTATTGTAAGTATGTGGGAGGAACACTAAGTATGTGCAAAATTCTGTGGATTACCCTGTGCTTTGAAATACCACCTGATTTTTAAAGACCCTTTTACAAAGGTCATAGTAACAATGTATTAGAACCCTTAATGTTATTTAGTGGGAAATTTTTAACCCTGGAGTCAAAAGGCCTGATTATCAGCACTGAGTGTAATCAAGTATAATGAGCATATATGAAGGAAATCTTCACAAGCAACACAACAAAGCAGCTCAATGTTTTTTCCTTTGCAACACCATGGCCTTTTCATCACGTTGACTGTGCAGATATAGCAGGGCTTGCAGTATTTTCTTCCCTGCCTTTGTGGTTATCACTAAGCAACTGGCCCCTTACTGTTTCTGTGCTCAGAACTGGTTCAGAGAGATTTGCATAATTTCAAACTTTTTCTTTTTTAGAAAATGTATCACAAATTAATGGACTAAAAGGGTGCTTTGGATGAGTGACATTTCTTTGTTGAAGAATTGTGGATTGCATTATCTTTTCCAGCCTTCTATGGAGAGAACATGAAAAGTGTCTCCACAACTGCCACAGCATCCTACTGATGTTGAAATCTTGCAGTTTTGGAGAAGGTGGATTTTGGAGGGGCCTACAAACAACATATCAAATGTATGTGCTTGCACATAAAAGTCCTAGTTCAGCAGTTGAGTAAATCATGTGCTGTCAATGCAATTCAGAAGGTTTGCTGCATTGCAGCACAAGACACAAGGTATTTCTATGCAGAGATCCGATTTATAAAACCTGTTCCCCCGCTGAAGATGAAATGTGCTGAAAAAAATCTTTCTCTGCTGCTTCTTGTAGATCATTTCCTGGGAGAGAGGAACTCTCTGTAATCACAGAGGTTGAACTGGGCTGGTACGTAACAAGTACACCTTTCTAGCCCCTTCCTGACATGTGTTGCAGACATTGGAACATCACACGTTAGCTACGGGATAAATAATTTTTAGAAGTACGTTCTAGATTTTCATTCTAGACACGGGGCATGAAAATGAGCACAACGAGAAGTGTGTGTCTGTACACTAGCTCTATCCCATGCTCACTGAATCTGCTTAAAAAAAGTGGCAGCTTTTTCCAGAGATGGTCAGCTCTTAAAAACTGCATCCCAGATTGTTTAGGATATCATCTGAGTAAAGCCTTTTGTCAGCCTCAATTTAGTACCAACAAAGAGCGACACGAGAAAAGGATGTCCTGGAGATTTTCCAGTGCAGACTTCGTCCCTTTTTATTCCACCGTGAAATGAAGAGACATCCCTGAAGGTACCACACGTTCCTGATACAGGAAGCATCGAGATGCTTTATAGTAATGCAGCAAGATGCAAAAAATAATGTGCAACCTTGTCATTAGGAAATGGCATACATGTGGTGTTTGTAAAATGGCTGTTGCTGATGTGATTTACCTGGTTAGTTCCTGGGTGAAGCTGACCACCTTCAATGTCAAATATCTTCGGGGAACAGAGGAAAATCAAGTGACTCTCAGCTCCTCCTTTTTTTGTGCTTTAATCCACTTCCAAATATCGTGGAAATATGGGTCAGTGTGTAGTGAAATTCTGTATTTTTAATTCAGGTTTTAATTCCATGAATGACTGGGATTTTCAGTTCATCCTTATAGCGGACTTTCATTAATAAGTAGTAGGAAATGATCTGAGAAGCTCCATTATTTGATACAGATGATTATGGCAAGTTAATCGCTGGTTCAGAATTCCCTCCCTATGAGTAAAGTGTCAGAGCACCTGATGGCACAGTTAGGGGACACTGCCTTGCCTTTCTCCGAGATTAGTTGGCTTTCGTTAAAGACTAGTCTTACAACTTCCAGTATTGGATGTTTCATTTGAAGAAACCTCATTTCTCCAGAAGACAGTATGAAAAAACCCATTTCTGGACTACAGGCGTAATAGGAAATGCCATTGCTGCACTCTGGAGAAACACCAGGGAAAGCGTGCTCCTGCCTCAGACAATCAAACCTTTAATTGTAAGGCTAATGAAGATTTATTGCAGCCTACAGTGTGGGGTTTTTTTCCCTGGTGCTTACCCAGAGTAGCCAGGTCTCTCTCCTTTCCCTCTCGCCATCCCCATGGCATACGCAGTGGACTAAGGTAGCTGCGCTCATGCCTGGAGTAGCAAAACTTCCCCTTACAGCAGCGCAGCAAGCTACCATTTATTTTTAATTGCTCCCCACGGTGTAGGCCAATTAAGGATGAAGCCAGCAGGGCAAGGATCACTGGCAAAGCCTTTGAAGGGAGCAGACCCAGCATTTGCTTCGCCGGAAGGCTGCCATTCACACATTTGTGCAAGAATGCAAACAATTGGGCTCACTCAGTGGGATCAAGAGCTATCTAGTTCAGTCGGAACCACTTTCTAGTGCAGATGGCAGTGAGAGTGGCAGCACCACTGAATATTCTCCCTGGGGTTAGAAACTTTCCAAATGAGATTTACATTCGTGACCCTCCCCGTTTCAGC